TATAAAACTATTTCATTTATATGTTAAAAGAAAACAGCATTGGAAAAATTTGAAAATAAAAATATATTCAAAAAAAGTTTTTGAAAAACATCCCCACCTCAAACTCTTGATGAAAACCCTTGTAAAAGCAGAAAATAAGTTCCTTTAAAGGTTTCTTAAAATTTATTGAATTTTGTTAACTTGAAATCTCATTTAACAAGTTTGAGGGTTTGAAGCCCCAGAAGTCATATAGTGAGTTAGGTATTTAAAATGAGGGCTTCAAACCCTCAAACTTGTTAAATGAGATTTCAAGTTAACAAAATTCAATAAATTTTAAGAAACCTTTAAAGGAACTTATTTTCTGCTTTTACAAGGGTTTTCATCAAGAGTTTGAGGTGGGGATGTTTTTCAAAAACTTTTTTTTTTTCCTTTCTTAGTATCGCATAATATTTAAACGACTTTTTTTCATATCTCATAAAATGTTTTATGATTTTCCTCCACAAAACATTTGGAACAGAGAAGATGGAAATAACTTTACACGTTGGGTTGAGTTGATATGTGGCTTGCCAATGGTAAACATTTCACGCTGAAGCGTTGGAGGGTTGAAATTGAGATGAAAAATAATATTCTGTCGCTTCAGGCAACACAGCATTAGCAAAATGGAGGATTTTTTAATTTTAACAATGCTTTTTGAGATAAAAAATGAGAGATTTATATGCGGAGTTTCTTCTTGTTTAAGTACGCCACAAGATAAAAGAATCTTTTTCATTTCCCTCATTCTGTGTCATCTCGAAGCCAACATTGAATGGAATGGCGGCATGGAAATAAAAAAATAAATGTAAACGAACAATTGTATAATTTATAGCTGCGTGGGGTTCCTTTGAGAATATCACATGGTTTTAGGAGTTTTTGCTTCGGTACTTTAGTTAACATTTAAGGGGATTGGCATCGGTTGAGAATCAATTCACCAGAAATTAATTTTTATCATATAAAAACATCGATCGCACATTTAAATTGAATAATTTCATATCAACCAACAATGCTTTTGACTCAAAACAAAGATTTCAAATAAATCTACAATTAGCTAAATTGATTGCTTTTGAAAAACCATAAATTTCCATTCAGATTTAAACAGCACCAGACAAAAACCCACGCGTGACATTGAAAATCCATTCTTTATTTAACCGAAATATTTGTAACACAAAAAAAGGCATCATCAGCAAATAAACATCCCGTCCCGACAACACGTAAATCCTATTGACTATAAACAAAAACTCTCTCCTCTCATCGACAGTGGCAATCGGGCGCAGCTAACGATTATCGATTTTCATCTCATTCATTGCCGAAAAAACGAACAGCAAAAAAAAGTTTAAATTGAAATTTTTCACCATCAAATTGTTCGTAGAGAGAGTTGTGAGAGTTGAATGAAATGATAAAACAATGAGTAAAGTCTTTCAAACCATAAACCATTCCATATAAATAGAAGGAGGAAGGAAAATTAAATTAAAATCAGTGTCATTGTGCCAAACAGTTTTATTCGATTTTCATTAGGATGTTAAAGCTTTAAAAAATTTCTTTTATGAAACTTTAAAGCTCCTTGTCTCAATTTATCATCATTCTGTGTTTTCTGTGTTTGCTTAATTAATAAAGTTCCGAAAACTTACATAACTCACTTTATTTTAAGAATTCTTAATGACACTACCGCTTTAACGCTTCTCAATTGGCTTAAAAAAAACTGATTTTCATCACACCACTGCATCCAAACATTCTGATGAACTCCTCTTCAAATTAACCCGAAAAACAAGCTTACACATAGAAGCGAATGCTTGAAAACATCAAACCACAAGAATCTCTTTCGTTCGGAGCGTCAATATAATTTATTACAGATTTGAATTCAGATGAGGGAAAAATAAGTTGAGAAAAAGAAGGAAAATAAAAAAATCGTATTTCAAGTCGTTATGAAAATTCTGTTGTTTGTTGAAAATAGAAGAAGACGTACTGAAAATTTCATATTTTATGCTCCACACAGATAAACATAAAATTGCTGTAAAAATCATTTTGCTTCGAAGTTCTGCTTCGAGAATAAAATAAAACCATGAAGAGTTTTTATCATCCTAAATTCATCTTTTTCTTCCTCTCTCTCTCTCCCTTCTTCTCTTCCCCGCACAAAATTTTATTTGTTTCCATTAAAACTTGGGAAATTTTTTTTATTCGTTTTTATTTTCTTCTTTTTCCAAGAAAGAAACGAGAAAACGAAAGAAAACATCCTTGAATTGTAAGGTGAAATTATCTTCTTCTTTTGTCGTCCTTTTTACATAAACTTTTGATTCTCTTACGCAATGTTATCTGTAGTTGTGTGTGCGATTGTGTAAAATATGCGAAAGTAAACAAAAAAACATAAAAAATGTGTAATAAATGTTTTGAAGAAGAAAATGAGGGAAAAGAAGGAAAAGAATGTGCTGTGATGGCGTGCAGCCAATCGCATTTATTGAAACTCGTGTAAGCGGAACTTTTACGCCCCTTTTTCAAACTTACAAACACTACAAATAAATATCTACTAACACTTTCATAATGCAACATTTCTCGACAATGTTATTCAGACTTTGACTTGAGTTTCAGTTTCATTTCTGACTTTTTCGTGATCGATCGAAAGGATCAACGCTCGAATTTTTAATTCTCGAATTGTCTCGTGGAGCCTCGTGAAAATATTTTGAGTGATACGCGATTATTGAACGGAAAATCATCATCGAGTGAAAGTAAAGAAAATTTTTAGTTTATTTATTTAAAAAAGTTACTTTCAAAGTAAATAGAAAGAATCTTTTCGTCGATTTGCATGAATGTTCCGTCGGAATTTAACTTGAACAATATCTTTGTAAATTATGTTGAAAAAATACAAAGTGAAAATCAGGGCGAAAAGTCACAAAGCTTAGAAAACTATTCTTGACATTTAATATGGTGATTGATAATGTACGCCTACGACTACATCCCTTTTGAGCTTTTATCGCAAATATATGTCGTAACATTAAATTCTATAGAATAATTTAACGTGTCTCCACTGGAAACATCAGTTTAGGGGGAAAAGACAAACATGAGAAGAGAAAATTGGAAAATTTGTTGAAAGAGTTTATTTTTAGTTGTCTCACATTAGTGCGACATATCGAAAGAAGAAAAACAACATTAGAGATGCATAGTAGAACCGCCCACAAAATCAGTGAAAGTTAGAAAAGGTTTTTCCACGTTTCACCTATTTGGATAAGATAATAGTTTTTCCAGTAGAAAAATACCTTTACAAGAAAATGTGATAAAACTTGAAAAAGTTTTCAATGAAGTTCAATTAAAGATGTTCGATAAAAATTAATTTAAAAATTTGCAATCAGGGTTTTGTTTCAATCATTAAATTCTGTTGCATTTTTGCTTGAGTAAGCTTAAAAGTTTCATCTCTGATGGAAGCGAACTGTTGATTCAAAAATCATGTTTTTCAAAAGTTTCATTTTCAAGCCAGCATTAAATGTATAGTTACAGAATTTTCCTTGATCATCATACAATCTCATTCATGATTCACTCTTCATAGTGTTAAACTCCAATCACTAACACTAACGTAATTCCTGTATACACGATGCTTGTATATAAACGATTTTCTTGTTTCATGATTTTTAGGGTGCTTTTTGGTTTTTTGGGTTTTCCAAGGGGTTTTCTATGTTTTGCTTTCTTTTTTTCTCTCCGGTGTCGCCACGAACTACACGTTGAACATTTCACATCATCGAACACAGCAAACAAGAACTTCTATACAGAAGAAAAATACTTTTCCATACAATTTTTATTCATTTTTACTTGTGCCGACAAATATCTTCAAGCAAGTCAGAATATTTGCAAGTAACGAAAAAAGAGAAAACACGAAAAACATTTCACGACGTATGTGAGATTCAGTGTGTAAACTTCAAAAGTCGCTGTTTCATCACAGAATTTTATGACTGAGATCAAGTTGGATGTATTATCTATTCAAACATCATTGTCTCCACTCTGTTTTCAAGAAAGAAAATAAAATTGTAAAATAAAAGTCTTGAATTTGTAGGCAACTGAGAATATGCGATGAGCGGTGGGATTTGCGATTTGCGATTTACGATTTAATGTTTTATAAGCTATCGATGAAAAGATTCTTCAATGCTTAATATTAATCAAAATTAGATACTTGGAATTAAATTTTAAACTATCTCAATGAATTTTATTACAGTTACAAAAGTGAATGAGAAATATTTCTAAAAGTGATCGTTTAAAGTTTTCAGCAAACGCCGGAAGAAGTGACACAAAAAAATTGAAAAAATTAATAAAAATTACTTCAAAGTACAAATTCAACGAATTAAATTGTTATCGTCAAGAACAGAAGAGTTTAAGAAACAAATTATTAAAAATATTAGCTGCTGGAAGTGAATTTTTGGAATAGATCCAGGCTTTGTTAAACATGGATTTAGTCTAAAAAAATTAAGGTGAGTTAGATTATTTGCAAATGTCTTAAAATCTTAAATATTTTTTTGCAACATTTCGAATTGAAAATTCAACAACCACAAAAGAATCTGAAAATGTTAACCACTCTTGCCCTTAAACACGTTAAACTACATAACTATTTAATTTCATTATGGAACTTGCAATATGTAACAACACAAGCTATAAATATTGGGAAATTTTCTACCAATGACTACGAGTCATTCCCCACCGAATCATCAACAATTCACCCTTCATTAATACAAAGAATTGAATAAAATAAAAATTCAAACAGACGCAATAATGATATGAATTCAATTCATATTTTGATACAATTGTAATAGCTTAACAATAGAACATTTTTAACCCTTTTTCTGAATCTTCCTGTATTATTTAATCGAAAAGCGAATACAATGAACCGTTTTGGTTTCAAACATTCATTCAGTTTAGCAGTTCATTATGAAAATAGTAAAACATTTAAACATTTTGTTTAAGATGCTTCGTTTAGATGTTGAAACAAACCTTCAACCCCCCCATTGCTATTTTTTCCATCTTATTTAAAACAAAATCATGTTCACATAATCTCAAATTGAACGTCGATAATTTTTGTGAAATTATGCGAGAACCATACCAACTGACGCGATATTTTTATTTGAGGTTTTCTCTCTTTCTTTATTTATAAGCGTCAAGCGAATTTTTATGGAGATTAAATATTAGATGCGATGAAATCCCTTCATATGCTTCGTCTGCATTGAATAAAAGGCAAAGCGAAAAGCGACATGAGAATTCCTGCAGAATGTGAAGAATGAAGAATTTCAAAAAGTGGAAAGGAAAAAACCTAGCAAACTCAATATGATATTTCTTAACACTCGAATGACTATCAATTGTTAAATTTTACATTTGAATCATAATAACGTGTGATGCAAAACGACAGTGACAGTTCTTGTCATGAGGGAATGATGGTCATTTTGGTATGCATCGCCATCATCATGTCAATTTCTTTTCACTCCGTTTTAAGCATTGAAAGTAAAAGTTTGCATGCACAGACATTTAATCAATAATCTTTCTTTTAGTTTTTAAAGAGGTTCAAATTATTCAAGCAAATTCAATGACATCGTCGTGAAATCTGAAAAATATTTTCATTCTTTCTTTTATGGAATTTAAAATTAATTAAAATTATTTCATTATTAATCATCGAAGTCAATTTACGATGTAATTGGAATTCACAAAAAAATTCAATTTTAAAGGTATTGAAACAAAAAATGATGCAATTAAATAATCAATTCATTCTCATCAGTAAACTGAGTTTACCTTAAATTGCTAAAATGAAATAATTTTGTTTGTCAATTCACTCAATTTCAACTTTGTCATGTTCAGCATCGACAACAAAGAGACGAGGAAAAAAATATCAGATGTCAAGTACGCATGAAAAATCCAATTGAATGTTATATTAGCTATTGTTGTTATTATCGCAGAACAGAACAAACACACTTTGAACAGAATGATAAATGATGTTTTATACACAAAATTATGTTAATTCATAAATTCGATACGCCTTTTTCACTCGCTCTGCTTCACAATTCACATGACTTTTCACTCTGAAGTGTTGATTCTTGTTGAACATTTATTTAATATATAAACTGAAGATAAAGCAATGATATCTCAATTATGATTACTGGCAAACATGTTGCCATTCACATACAACATTTCATTACTTAGAAGCTAAAGAACAAAATCAAATTCCATTTGAAACTATTTCAATCGCCTTTTCCAATGTAAAATGACTTTGAAAAATTTTCGAAACTCATCAAAGCGAAGCAATTTGAAAGCATAAAAAAATTCTCGCATTCTTTTTATTTGGAATCCATAAAAAAAAGATCAAAGTGAAAGGACATAAAGTTACAACATGTTTCAAAGTGAAACTTCTTTCATTTCATATGCAAAATGGAAAACCAATGGAAAGCAGCAAACGAAATACATTTGTTAGATTAAAAGTATGAAATGAAATATTTCAAATGAATACTCATTAAAAAGAAGTCGACGTTTCATTAAAAATTCCAAAGCACATCAACAACAACCGAGAACGTTACCATTAAGTTTGATCACTTAAGCAGAAAATTTGACCATTTTTTTCTCTATCAAAGTCAATTCAATTGTTCCCACTCCCGCCTCCAAAAAAGGTCATCTTGCCGAGGGTGAACATCGACAACCCTCAACCAAAAAGGAATCGCTTTGTATAATTGAAAAAGCTTTATCATGAAATTGCGATCTCGGCAGCCAGAAGTGAATCTGAAAAAACGGATAACATTCATTCAATTGTGCAACTCAAAAAGATTTTTCTTTATTTCATTGAATCTTCTTTTTTTTAAAAGTCGAAAGATAAGAAAGAACTGAAATCTAATTAAGACTAATGATGACTTCTCAACTTCATCATCATGTGCGCTATTAACATCACCTTAATTAAAAGAAACATTTTAATAGGAAAATTATTTCTGAAGAGTCATCTCCAATGGAGATTCGCATTCATTTCCATTAAACATAAAAAGCACACTTAACAAAATGAGAAAATACTGAAACATTTCATAAAGCATAAAAAGCACTCTTAAAATATTACAAAAAAAAAGAAGAAAAAAGTTTTTATTATCATCATCAAATTGAAAGAAAATGGAAACCCGTCATGCATTAGTTGCAATGGAATTATGAATGGAGGTATAAAAGGTTTGCGGTATCATCTTCAGCCAACCTGTAACATTCATTTATAAAATGAGAAAAAAAATTGTGATGGAAAATATAAATGAAAAAGCTATGATAAGTTATGGAACATGAGATAAGTAATACTCTTAATGCACATCGACAAGAATAGCAAAGACTTATAGGAGCTTTAATTAAAAAAAAAACTCATCACATAATTGGACGCTTTTTTCTTGTTCAAAGTCGAGGGCTTTTATTTATGATTTTATATCGAATGTAAATGTAAAATGTTGTGATGAAAGAGAAAAAGGTTTTTCCTGAGTAGAAAAGATTAATTTTAATCTATTCTTCGTCCTTGAAAGGAATTTGTAAAATGATAAAATTTTATCTCAATTTTGAATTCTTTACAAGTGACGATCGTGGTTGAGAAAATCAAAATCACGATCTCTGCCCTCGTTTCAACAAATCATCGGCATCAGGAATTTCAATCATTTTGGCTGGGATGTGACGATGATTCGGGGTTTAAAATTGAAAACAATAAATCAAAGAAGGAGAGTCAGTCAGCTCAAGCTTCAATGACTTCTGCACACTTTTACACTCGACTGATTCCATTATTAAAAAACATAAAAATATCAAATTGAGTTAAATCTGCACGACGATGAATTCTGAGATTTTATTATGAAGCTTGGAAAAAGGAACTGTCGAGGACATAAAATACATTTAATTATTTGATGTGTAACTAGCAGGCAGGAGCAATTCATTCCAATTGTGTCCGTCGCGTGCCGCTATTTAAGAATTGAAAAGAAATTGAAGGAGGGTTGCGTATTATTCAAATAATTGCTTTTGTAGGCGATTGATATGTTTTCATGTTTTCTTTTCTTACTTTTTTGTAATGTGAAACGATCATTAGATGCAAGTTAATAAGCATCGATTTATGATATCACGTAGTGCGGCGGTAAAAAGGTCAAATTCACCTAGAACCAAAACTGATTGGAAAGCCACTTGACAATCCCACAAAATTCTCACGTCAAACTTCATTTCATTTCATTTAAAGTTCAAGTTTCCGAAATAAAATTAACAAAACTTCTCACTGAATTGAAATCATTGAACTCGAACAAATTTTGACATGCGATTGTGAATTAAAGTTGAACAAATGCATTTGACATAGAATGAATTGCGAATCCTATTTAATCTTTTTATTTTAATTTCTCGTAACATGTAAAGAAAAAAAGTTTTTCAATCTATTTGAGGTGAATTAATAAAAAAACTTTTACTTTCAATTTCATTCGTCTTTCATTTTTATCTTCGTCTTCATCTTCAAATACAAAAAGAAGGAAACATGAAATGCTAAATCAGCACTCAGACGATTCACCATTTTCCATTTTCTGGCTGTTATGTACAAATAGAATTTATTCTTATGTACAATTTTGGACGAGTTCATCAGCAGAAATCTAGGGGGAAGGAGTTTGAGCACTTTAACGTTGTCGTCCCCATTCTAAAATACTCAAACATCCAGCATTGCGTAAGCGATGGTAAAGCAGGAGAAAGAGAGAACGAGAAGGGAGAAGCTGACACAATCCCAAGGATTAACTGACGAATTTATGTGTGCTCTAATAAATTGATTTACTCAGCGCCTTTTGCATGTAGACATTACATTAGTTCAAGGATTAATAGTGGATTTCTATTATGACAAATTATCGATGGAAGAATGAATTGTGACGGCAGCAGAATCTTTTATCGATTTTTCCCTTACAGTCTACTCACCATCCATATCAACTAAAAACAGTCTCGTAGGTTATGATTCATTGATGAAGAATTCAAAATGAGCACAGAAAAAAAAAAGTTTTGTTTTCTGAAAACCCTCATATTAAACTTAATGTAGTCAGTTGGGACTTTGAATCTCTCATTTGTCCCCCATGGGGCATGACCCGTTTTATTCATTCGCTCTCACTTTTCTCATTTCCGATATAGCAGCAATCGATCATGTTTCTCAAGACATTTTTTGCATGTTTAGGTATTCGCGTTGACACGACAAGAATAAAAGTTTAATGACTTCATTAAATTTGCAAGCGTTGAAACTTTAAACTTTAATTGAATTGAAATTCATTTCCTTAAATTTTCGACCACTGGTTGCACTGACTTTGAACATCCAACAATCCAACTGTTGAATTCCAATATCAATCTTTTAAAGCGGTCACATCATGAAATGTAAACAAATATCTTAAATTCTCTTTTACTTTGAATTCATCACCGTCAAAGATCGTTGTAAAAGGAAAAAAGACATTTTTAAAAGAATTAATTACATGCGTCGTGTATCGAGACAAATGACATGGGAAACGTTGACAGATTCGTTTTAAATCATTTTCTTGATTGTGTTTCTTTGTATCTCAAGATTTAATCCATTTAACAATATTAACTAAGTAAAACGCCTTTGACAAACATCAAAACTTACACGGAAAGAAAAAAATCTTTGTTTGCATTCGATTGATGTCTAAATTATTCATGAATGTGATAAAAATCATGCAAAAAAATTAGAAAAGTTAATTAACCATTAAACTCTAATTGATGTTTTATGGTACAAACACACGCGTATTTATTTGTGAACGTGTAAGACTTAATTAGCTTTCATTTGACTGATGTGTTTCTATCGAATGAAAATTGTCTCACAAAACAAATCCAAATAAATATTAAATCATTTCACAACAAGGCAACTGTGTCTAATTCATATCATTTAAGCTCGCTCAACTAGCTTAATTGCCCGTGAATCTCAGCTCGCTCCAATGAATTGTTTTATGAACTTTGAGTTTCATTAGAGTGAAAATGATTTCATGAAGCAAACTCGAGAAGTCATGACAAGAAAGAAAAAAATAAAATTTAGCGTCGGCTCACTTCAAATGTTCAGAGTTCAAGTGATATTCTATATTCTTATTAATTTGAAATTCATTTTACTTTTAATTCATTAGAATGAATGTACCGGTCTTGTTGAATGGTATTAAAAATATCATGTTTAAAGACTTAATTTGAGACGTGATACATCAAGACAAAGATGAATGAGTTGACTTGACTTACTTATCAAATTATTTGAATCTCGTGTACGAGCATCAAAGACAGAAATTCTTCTTTCATTTATTAGCTTAGTTAAGAAAAATTTTCGTACATGAATAATCAAAACTGCAACAATATTTTGACCCAGAAAATCTCGGATTTGTCAAACCTCAATTAACAAAACTTCACTCTAAGAATTCATCTCTACTTCAGTGAAATAAAAGAAGGCTGAAGTGGTTTCACAAAGATTAACAAGAACAATTTCTTGAAGAAAGAAAAAAATGTTTTAAGCTCCTCTCGACTTGAGAGAATGGAAAGAAATTTCAGGATTTGCTAGATGAGAAAAAGCCTTCTCGAAATGAATAAATAATTGTGTTGTTTGTAACGCTATTGTAAAGGTGAAGAAGGATAATATTTATTTGGAAAATTTATGAATTATTACGATGAGAAGCATTCAAAAGAAACACTCTCCGACCTATGGAGTGGTTTTACTTCATTTTGGAATGTTAAGCCATGAAATAGATACTTTGCTTCTCTATTCGTTACAGATGTTCTTGTTTCGAGCTAATTCCCAGGGTTGTAGAACTTTCCTCTCATCCCTTCACCTCAACATTAAACGACCGACTTCCCTCCATACCCTGACAGCCTCTTTTAAAACGCTTTTTAAAATATGCTTTAATCCTTATTGAAAAAATTACTGTAATGTTTTCTAAATCCTATGCTTTGAAAGAAACTAGAATTTATGTCTAACCCCAAGCCAGTCTTTTGGTTCACCACAAAATATGAACACAACATATGAAAAGGCAACAATTATGAAACATGTTTGTGAAAAAAAAATTTGTCTGACATTTATGATGCAGGCTTGCTGATGCATTTCACATCAGTTAAGCAGAAAATTGGCGCCCTGCAAGTATTCGCTTATCTGACAAATTATTTTTATAAAATTTAAAACAATCTTTGCATATCAGCAGTCTCGAATCTTTGAGAGAATGTTGTTGGTTGAAATTCCTCAAAATCAATTTTTTTTAGTTCATGCCACACTGTCGAAAAATGCTTCAGTTGAAGATGCCATGAAAGTATCAAAATGAAAAGGAGTCGTCAATGAAAGAAAGAATAAGAGACATGAGTTGGTTTTATTTGTTTTTTAAAACGGTAGGCATGCGTCATGCTGTGTTTATGACATTTTGTTGTATGAAAATATGATGAGAGTTTCAACCTTTATCAAAAGGTAAATAGAATGAACTGCCAGTCTTTGAAATACCTCTCAGACAGTCTTAAATACGACGAAGAAGTTATGAACTTTTACAAACTAAATAATGTAGGTATGTGAACCGTCACAAGCCATGTCTCAACTGGTGGTCTTCTTTAAAGTGATGTCACTCAAAAATGTTAATTAATTTCAAAATAACAAAATTCTCATTCATCATTACGATGACCGAATGAATTCTTTTTTGTTGGCATCGTCTTAAAATAAAAAGAATAAACCAGACTTGTGTTTTTGACTTCATTCGAGGCAATTGAGTTATAACCGCACATTTTCTGTTTGATTATCTTGTTCTAGTTATCTAGAAACACGTTTGGTTGAAATGAAAGTGAAAAAGAAAAATTTGATCAGTCAATTTGTTGTGTTCGAATTGTTGAATTGTTTTCTACGTTAGCATGTCACGAAAGGCGTTAAATTTACCACTTACTTTGAACATGAGGTTACGATAATTATGTAATTATCCTTAGTTGCTTCATTATCATATTTCATGTAACACCCACGCTTAGCAATACGAAGAAATTGTAAACTAATATTTATTTGAAATTTGACTTTTGAAGTCTTTTTCCCTGTTCAAATGGTTGTGATGAAAGGAGCCGTCGATATTAAGTGGAAAGAAATCCTAACAATGCCCTATCAAGAATTTTGATATCATGGAATGTGTCACCATTTCTAAATCTTAACATATCCGATACCATTCACCTCAAGTGCCATAAAAAGGTATTTTAATTCCCAATTTCTAAGAACATGATCCGAAACGGTTGTTTCCATTTAAACGGATTATCGCTCAACCGAAAAATTATTAATTTCATTGTCGTTTTAATTATTTTACTATGGAAACTCGATAGCGAGTTTCAGTTTGTGAAATTTTCCTCAATGTAATCTCGTACAAAAATGTAAATTGGCATAAGCAGGAAATGTTAAAAAATTATTAAATTTATGTTTTGAATGATTGTCAATTGAATTGTTGTTTCGCCGTCATCATCATAGAGATTAACGAAAACATTAAAATATAATTTTTATTGAACTTTTCTTATCAGTTCTTCGTCAGTTGGGTGAAACATCGCCTTCCAAAAAATTTCTAGTCGATGTGGCTTGCATTATTTCTATTTTTACTTTTTATATTTTAATTGGTTTTTTTTTAGCTTAGTTTAGGTTTAGAATTAGGTTTAAGTTTGTTTAATGTTAATTTTTAGTATGCAAGTAGTAGTAAGGTTTTTCAGAATTTTCCTTACATTGCATTACATCATTTTCGCAAGTCACATCATTCACTAATACATCAGATTTTGTCACTGATCAGATAGGTTTAAAATCGCTAGATTAATACCTGATATTCCCATAATATGATATGTAGAAGCATACTCTCTAATAGGCAATAAATCGAGATTTTTAAAACTAAAAAAAATCTTCGTCAGTTATCTTTAATTTAAAAATATTCAAAAACATCAATTTTATGCTACTATAGTAATCTATCATCATAATCATTTTTAAATGATAAAAATTAGCTACTTAAGGACATCAACACTAACCAGCTAACAAGTAACATCGTCAACATAAAAGCAGCTATTGAAGTCTATAAAAACTTATTTTTATTGCTTAACAAATTTACTATTAAATGACGACAATATCAAGCATTAATTCATCCCCGAGGCATATTTCGAAAGATGTTCAAGAATCGTTGTTAGGCGCACGTTTGTAGGTCGTAATGCTCGATAAGTTATTGGATTTATTACACCCACTCTAACATTGATGATGTCTTTATTAACTCTTTTTATTTGTTTGTCATACTCTTTATTTAGTTGTGGCAAAATTGCACGACTTTCAGACTCGTGTCTCTTAAAGATGTCTCCAGGGAGAAACTGAAGTAGAAAAATCTTTCGTTATTTGATTTAACAAGAAAAGGAACAAAAAATGAGTTTGTTGTAAACGACGACAATGCAATGTTTGAAGTTGTTAAAATTTTATTTCATAGATTCTTTTTTTATTTAAATGAACAAACAGAGAGCTTATTTGAAATGTTTCTTTTAATATATTCCAAACTCATTCGAGGGAGATTTGATTTTTATTTTCATTTATACTTGAGTGAGATTGAATTAAAAAAATTATTTTTGTGAAAAGAAAAAATCGCTTTTCAAAAACAATAATTGCACATACTTTAAACCTTTTTATATGGTAAACATCCCGAGATTAAGTCAAAAGGATTGAGAAAAATTGAAAACATAAAAACCCAACTTACAGTAACGTTGCCTGATTTTCCATGATTTACCTCCTGCGGTGGAAAGAATAAAATTGTTTGCTGATCCAATTTATTTCGAGAGTCGTTTCAAGAGATTTTAGATTGGATGCAAAGATTTTAATGCGTTTTATGAGATTCTCCTTTCAATAAATTTTTATTTTCCTAATCTTTTATTTGTTATCTCGTTCAGTACTCAAACCTTGAATGTAAAAATCATTTTATTGGCAAATACATTTTAATAAATCAACTTTTATGATTTTTTGGGGAAACGTTATCACTTATGCTCCTCTAATCATTTATAAATTATTGGGATGAAATGAAAGATTGCCTTTCTTTTTATAATATTAAATTATTATTCTGCTTGCGATTATCCAAAAAATAAAAAGTGACGAAAGTAACGTAAAAACTTGATGAACTGCCAGAATTATCATTCATACGAAAAATATATTTATGGGCTTTTCACAAACAGGAAATTTCATTATTTGATAAACATCTCATGCTCGTATTGTTACTTTAGCATAAATATTATTAATCAAATTATGATCCTTAGCATCCACCCTAAAATTCTCGCTCATTGTGACCCTAAGGATCATTCGTATGATGACATTAGTATCGTTGTTGCTTTATTTGTTTATTCTAGTGATGACAGAATGTCATGCATCTTGCATTCTTAATGAATCTTTCATGACCATTGTGTCAAAGAAAGTGTTTCTGGTTTTTATCCTCAGAGCACTACACAATGTTGCGTGAGAGGATTTCTTACCTCAAAATGAGTGAAGATTTTCATTAAACATATTTGTAATTATGAAACCTTAAATTACTTACATATGAAGGCATAAAATTATTTAAATTTTTGCTTCCTTAATTCCTAATATATCCATTTAATAATTAACGGAAATGACGAAAATTCAGCTTCGTTCTAAGTTTAAAAATAACAATTTTCATTCAGCATTGATAGTTTAACAATGTGATGATAGTAAAAATTAACATAAAATTCAACTTCATTTAATGATTGCATAATAAGAGAGCTAATGAAAGACGAGGGTGAACGAAGTAAAGGGTAAGTGAGAAATTGTTCGGAACTCAATGTTTCCGCTTTAAAATTTCATCTCGACATTAGACTCTCAACATAAAAAAATCGATTTTCACTACTGCAAATAATAAAAAAAAGAAAAACAAATTACGATCACAAACTCTTGAATTCTCGCTTTCTATCAACTGATTCGAAAGAGTCAAGAACATTAACAGCAAAAAATAAAGTTTTATGACTGTTGCGTGGAGAAAGAAAAGAGGGAAAACACTGAATTTATTTTCCATCGCAAATCAAGAATGAAAATCTCATTTCAACTTTAAATCGAATGCAATTTATTTGCGTTGTTTGGGGAGGAAAGAAATCTCTTCGTTTTTTGTAATTTACACTTGAGCCGTAGATGATTTAATTGATTTTAATGTGTTTTTGAAGTTGTTTTCTTATTCATAAAGGGTAACATGCTTTTGACTTCTCCTAGAGTTTCCTTAATGATTTCAAGGAGCGATGAAAATCAATTAAACTCTCAGAACATGCAATTTAAAACATGAAAATTCAGTAAATAATTTCCCTCAATTCTTTGTGCTGCATTTTTCTACCCAAAGTCAAGTGAACCGTGAACATTTCACTTCTCTTTTCTACTAAATTATCCGGTCCATTATTGCATTCCTATTATTTATCTAAGAAACATCTCGGATGTATAAGTAATGATCCTGATCAAACAAAACAAAACCATGATTTTTATTACTCAACCGCACGCAAATTTACAAGTAAACGTTCCATTGTGTCTAAATTTATTTCTGTGAAAAGAAAGAGAAAAAAATCAACGAGGCGATTCATTATTTTCAACATCAAATGCAATGGTTGGGTGGTTGAGGCTGATGCAGTTGAGAAAGATTGTTTACAATGTTTCCTTTGAAGCACGAAATATTGTCGTGTGCTGTTGTACACGGTTGAGTGATAACCGGTCTGATGAAAATGTGTCGTTAATCGTTCTGATGACACAAAATCCTCACTAAAGAGAGTGAAATGCCAATTTCCTTGAAGTTGAATTGAGATGTCTGGTGGCTGGCTGGCTGGATAAGTTACAGGAAGCATAAATGCGTTGGCCCCCTCCTATGATTGCTTTGACAGTTCTTATTATAAATGTATTTTTTATTAGAATTTTTCTCGCTTCCAAGTCGACACGTGACCTCAATCGATCTCAAAATAAGACTTTCAGTATTCTCTCGTTAAAAAAATCTGTAAATCCAAACAACATGCATTAATCCGGTTTTTATTACTTCATGTGAAAGTAATTGAAGTTTTGCTGAGTGATTTGGGAAAAGTTTTTCTTAAAATTTAAGACGAGATTTTGCATTTAAATTAATTTTTCTTTTCTTTTAATACATTTACAGATACAACAAGGCATCAACACATTTGCCTAATTAATCGATAACTAATCGATTAGCGAAGCAGAAGACAAGAAGAAAGAAAATTCAATTTTAAAACGTGTTTTACAACGGATTCAATATACTTTCATACTGGGACATTCCGCCGTCGGTGCATGACAAAATGCATGGACATGCAACAGCCATCGGTCAAACGTCGCTTTTTGGATGCTCGTCAGCAGGCCATAGCGGAATCAATCAATTGGGCGGCGTATACGTCAATGGTGAATTGCAATAAATTTCCTTCGTTCATTTTGCTGATTCATGCTGATAATTTATCCTCTCTACAACAACTGTTTCAGGTCGTCCACTGCCCGACTCGACGCGACAAAAAATTGTTGAGCTCGCTCATTCGGGAGCGAGACCTTGTGATATTTCCCGCATATTACAGGTTTCGAATGGATGTGTTAGTAAAATATTAGGCAGGTAAATATCGAATCATTTCCATTTCGCTTCTCTAACTTATTTATGTGGCTTTTAATAACTTACGCTCATTTAATTCTACACTCATTTAGATATTACGAAACCGGCTCGATAAAACCGCGAGCGATTGGTGGATCAAAGCCGCGAGTTGCTACTCAAAATGTAGTCAATAAGATAGCAGATTATAAACGAGAATGTCCCAGTATATTCGCTTGGGAGATTCGTGATCGGTTGTTGTCTGAAGCTGTTTGCAATAGTGATAATATACCAAGTGTGAGTATGCTTAACAGTTTTTATAACAAAACCATCTTCGATGCACTTCAAATGTCCTCAAAGTCAAGTCATTCAACTGAAGTTCTCTTTATATACTTTCACTCGTTCAATATCAAACTTTAATCTTGTTTTCGCTATCACTTTTAATTCGAAGAGTGAAGGGAAAAGTCGCTGACTAAAGTTTTGATTCAACAAGAAAATCTTTTTTGTTTTAGAATAAATTTTTCCTGACTCATCCAATTTGATTTTCTACGTTTTTCAATTAATTCTTTAAGAAAATTTAACCACTTCACTTTAATAAATTGAATGTTTTAAAATCAACAAACAAAAATCTTTTTAATTCGGTTGAATGGAAAAGTCAAAAGCACAATTACAAGCAAACAATCAACCATTTAAAAAAGTCAGAAAACACCAACACGTAGCAAGATCCTCAACTTTGAAGATGACGACGAATACATAATGCGAACATCTTTATTGTTCAATCATGCGCAGAAAGTTTGATAATAAATGTGTGTGCAAAATTCCCCCATTTTTCTTAATGTCGTCAGCGGTGAACGGCAAAAGAAATCTGTGAAAAATATCTCAAAAACTTTCCCTTCATATCTCAACGCTTTTCTTTTCGAGATACTTTTAATTTATTTCTCCACACTGTTTGCGGAAATTGTTTGCATTCGTGTGCGTGTAAAAAATGAATAAAATATGGAAAAAATCTTTTCTAACTGCCAAATAAAGGAAAATGGAAAGCACGAAAGACAAATAAAAATGAAAAGTGAGAAAATTCATCTTAATGTTTTATGTTGAAGATACGAGCCTTAAACATTTTATTTTAATGGAATGTGTGTATAAAAAAGTCAACACGATAAAAATATTTAAAGAGAATCAACCACACATTTCACCCTCAACATCTTTCCATTGCTTAAAGATTCCCCAGAAATTTGAAATGGCGGCAAATTTTCTTTCACAACTCGACTATCGATTACTTTAAAATATTTAAAAGGAAAACAAAATTATTCCTTTACGAACGAGATATTTGAATACAGCCGACAAATAATCAAGCCACTCACATTTGCAACAATGATCTCCTTTGTTCTATAATGCCGACAAAATAGAATTCTTCCATTGAGAATGGAAAGAAGACACGAAACCCTAAAGCCCATGGACTTAAAGCCGCCCTTTCTAAATTACATTTGGAACAATAATCAAGATAGGTGGATATTAGATTAAATACGTAGAGTAGCAACACAACTTTAAAGAACATTATAAATAGTGTGAGAAGAGGACAATAATAGTATGAAGCTACTCGAAGATTGCAAAGCAGAGATGAGAATTTCAATTATCCTTTTTTTATGTCCATTTCAAGTATCTTTTAGACCACCGTAAAAAAGAAATAAGCACTCGAGATAGAAATAAATATTCAAAAGAGTGAGCCTATACTCTTAAAGACCAAGCAATGAATGATGAAATACTTATCCAAGGGATTTAAAGGATAATCATTATGTCTTCTTCTCTCTTACTCACTCCATTCTCTTATTCTCCTTTTAATGTTGATTTCTTCTTCTTCGTTCATAAATCTTGAGGATTCTTTTTAAGACGACCATAGAAATGAAAAAGTGAGTGAGAGAGAGAGAGTAGAAGAAAAAAAAATTAAAACTCAAAAGTTTTATAGGTACTTACTCTCGTCTTTGATAAGGGTTGTTGAATGCCGTTCGCATTTGGAGGCAATGTTGAATTTATTTTCGTAAATTACGAGCTTCCATCTTGGGTCGCATTCGTTACGGTCATCTCATTAAAATTCTGAACATTTTCCAAACATTTTCACTCCTTTTCCACGCCACCCTATGCTAGCAAATGTCCTGAGGTTGGATGAAAGCTGGGTTAGAATGAGATCAGTATAGTTGAACATTTATGTATGTTTATATGGGGACACAATATGGGGAAAAATGGCGTGCACGCAATATTTATTTTCTATTCAACAGAAATAATATTTTTTCAGCTTTTTCACGTGGACGCATTTTGGGATCATTGCTCATGAGTTTTCTAAGTTAAACAATGTGCTTGTTATGTTTTCAGGCTAGGCTGCTAAAAAGGCGATTTAAATATGTATATTCAAGTGTACCTTTCGCTTCGTATAGTTTTGTTTCTCAAATTCCGAATGCAAAATAAATGAAAACGAATGAAATAATAATATTTACCAAGGGAAATGAAAAGTGGAAGAATTGTTCAGGGAAAAGCTTCTAAATTTTTTTATTTTGAAACACTTTTTTTAGATATTTGTTTAAACATGGAAAAATTAGTTCAAGTCAAGAGATAAGTTTCAGGTTGAAAGTTATTGAGCGAAAGAGAAAAAGACATTTGAAACAATATTTCAAGTTCCCATCCGACTCCAGAAAGTAACATTGAAACATAAATATCTGTGGAAAATGATTGCGAAAAGCAAAGGAAAAAAATTCATGAATTATTTAGATGTGGCGTGTGCGGATGAAGGCTTGATGAGTTGTTTAGTTTAGGACCTTGCGTAAGACTATAAAAAATATTGGTAAAAAGAAGCGAGGGCGACGGATACAAGAAAAATGTAAACGTGTAGCATGAAAATGCTGTATTTGATTTTCGTAGGGTTAACAAATCATGAAAACTCGATTCAACATACACAAAATTGTTCATCGTTGCGTAAACTGCTGTTGGGTTGAGGGGAGAAAATTTATGCGAATCCTAGTTGAAGAATTTCACTTACGTTATATTCAAGCGACGGTGTGTAAAATTCCTTCCATGTTGAATGAAGAAATAGAAAATAAAGTTGGAAATTCTTATTAAAAAAAGTTATTTAAATTATGTTGCAGGTTTCATCGATAAATCGAGTTCTAAGAAATCTGGCCTCACAAAAGGAACAACAATCAGTGCCGAGTGATTCCGTCTATGACAAGCTTCGAATGTTCAATGGACAGTCAGGTGGATGGGCCTGGTATCCAACAAGTAATACCGCACCAGCGCACCTCTCGCTACCTCCAACACCAACGTCAGCACAACTTAGTGGGCAATTGACAAGAGATGAATTGCAAAAACGTGGTGAGTTGAGAGAAATTCTTCATTAAGAAATAGAAAAAATTATCGATGCTTGCACCATTAAACATTAACTACGTTTGATTACATATATCTTACAAGATGCATAAATTCTGTCAAGATCACACATAAATAAATCTTCAAGCTTACATAACTCTAATTTATCGATTTTCGTTACGACACATCGTTGAACTTTTAATCATATTTTGGGTCGGGAGCTTGTTTAAGGGGATCGACATTTGAAATTATGTTCAAGGGATACATGATTGATGTTCAGCAATTAGATTAATGTTGCCGTGAAAGAGATGAATTTGTTCAATATGTTGATAGACACAATTCGAATGATTTTATGAAAATGTTTATCTCCGCCTTTGCCCCCTGAATCAGACATAAAATGATTTCATATGTAAATATATGTTTCCGTAATTTTGCATGAATATATAATGTATAGTTAACGTATGTTAGGATTGTCATAACATGACTAAATTATTCACAAAACTTATTTTCCTTTTATTGTTGGCGGCTGAGATTTTCCGTGAATTTCAAAACTTTATTCTGACGAGAATAATAGAAAAAGTTTTAACTACTAACAGTGCAATGACTTCACATGAAATTCAAACATTATTCCAAATATCATTGATAGACTATTGAACTCAGATAAATGAAATGTTCTGATGAATTTCATACGAAAGTTTCATTAAACAAAACCACAAAGCAAACGTCGTCTCAACAATTGCTTATAAATCGATAATTAATTCTTTTTCCTCTTGTTGGATTGTTTTTCATTTATAAGCTTGAGAAAAGAACATCGGATTCTATCAACCCTTTCACTGTCTCAATAAATAAAAACATCGACGTCAATCTTAAAGCATTTCAAGTAGAATTGCAAGCTGTTTGTTACATTCTATGAATCTAAGTCGAATATTCAACAGCAAATAAATTCTTGACATTTATTTTAATTGCGTTTTCATGTCCAATGCTTGTTTAATTCTTCCATCTTTATTACTCCTACAACTCTGTAGCAGAAAAATACAAATTGGATGTTGATTGTTGGTATTTACTTGTAAATATTTATCTGTCGATATTAATATTGATGAAATTTCCTGCATGTTTATCAATATAAAAGAAAATTCATCTTTCATATCGTATAACGATCAACAATGTTATCTTCATCTTCACAGGTGTGTTAATAATATTTAAATGCGCAAGCAATTTCAGTCGAGCGTGTTGATTTCTTTTATGAAATGAACATTTCTAATGCGATAAAAGATTCGTTAAGTGGTAAAAGCCGCTATGTTATGGCAACACCCTACGACAGTTGAAATGCCTGTAACACTCAATTGTAAGTGCCGTCTTTTATTTAATGATCATGTGAACTCCCCGTTGCTTTGAAGTAGCTTATATGAAGCATAAGTCTTTTTAATTGATAGAAAATTCATTTCTTCGGACAATTTTATATTCATTCAAGAAAGGAATATAAAAAAAGTCGGCCCCAACAATAAATATCGTGCAAAAGCCCGATATTTAAAACTCCGGCTATTATAGAATTTCTAGACGAACAGTATTAGTAAAAATCTAACTCCAATAAGGGGCCACTTTGTGTGAAAAGTATCTGGAATATTGAAGGTGGAAACAACATACCAAAAAGTGGCCCCTTATTGGAGTTAGATTTTTACTAATACTGTTCGTCTAGAAATTCTATAATAGCCGGAGTTTTAAATATCGGGCTTTTGCACGATATTTATTGTTGGGGCCGACTTTCGGTAACAGACTTTTTTTTTCTTCACAATGTTTTTTTTTTTTCGCTAGCAATGTTTTTTTTTTTTCGCTGGGAATGTTTTTTTTTTTTCGCTAGCAATGNATGGCAGGTATCCGAAATATCAAAGATACGAACCCCAAAATTTGATAGAAAAATTCTATTTGTATTTAAAACACATTGGTAAAGAAATTTTCCAAATCGGTCAAGAAATGTGGAAATGGGAGTGTCTACAGAGCTACAGAGCTACAGAGCTACAGAGCTACATCCAGACCCGAAAGCGGACACAAATTTTTTTTTCGTTTTTTTTCACTTTTCTCGACGTTTCAAGTCATTTTAAGTGTAACTAAGCAAAGAAAATTTTTTGAAATTTTTGCGTAAATCCAATACGGTTGCCCGTCACCCTAGGGTGGGGCCTCCGTAATTCTTGCTATAATTAAAGCAATATTCATTCTGAGTCTTATTTAATGAAGAGCATAGTCACGCGTGCAAAAAGCGATTGAAAGATCAAAGAAAAACTTTCTATGAGTAATTTCATTTGCAAATGTTGAATGCACTTATGAAATCAACAGAGCTACACTTTTTTTTTAAATAACTTTTCATCTTTTCATCATCAAAAGCACATTGTTGTCAGAGTATTCCTTCGTCATTTAAATGTCGCCTTTCGAAGCTCTTGCTTTGATTATTCAAATGAAACCATTTTCAATTAACAAAGAACTCAAAAGTTACAAACGTTGCAACAGTTAACAACATTTGGTTTCTAAAAGTTCAAGAAGGAAAAATTTTCCTTTTAGAAAATTCATTTCCATAGCTCAAAAGAAACTCAGCATTGCTAACTCACATACTTTTCAATTGTGGTTGCAATTATTTTCTGTCACAATTTCCATCATGACTTTGATGCTTAGCAAAGAAATGAAGTCAAAGGAAACACTTGTAATTGGTGAGTGTTGTTGAAATCAATGACAAACCTTCTGGTGGTTAACAATTTGAAAAGAAATTTTCACCATTAGTTTCGATGAAATTTCTTTCCTAGCGACATAGCCTTATACTTAACAGTTAGTACCATCAATAAAGTTATACAACGACATAAAGCTATCAAAGTAAAGCTGAATTACATGCTTCAAGAGACAAAACTTCTTTTATTGTTTCACTGCACAACAACGCAGCCAAAAACATTGTAACAATATGTAGAAACGAGCAGAGTTTGGATAAAAAAAGGCTGAAGCTCGTTGGAGCCATAAACGATAACAGAAATAATGACGAAAATAATTGGCAATATATATTTTATCCTTTTTATGATCAAAATGAAAATCATCGGCGTGTAAAATTGTATCCAATTTGTTTTATTTTCCTTTTATTTAATTTGCTTTTTTTTTTCTTCGAATCTCTCAATGTGCGTTGATTGTTAAGCGGAAAGAAAGAAATATGAAATGAATTGGTTTATGAATAAATTCAAGTTGATTCTAGTAATAGATTTTTATCTTTAGGATTGAGACGACAACCTTTCTACTCTTCTGTTTATTTCACAAGGACATGTGCTACAAGTTTCTGTATAAATAACATGTCTAGATGTCTTATAAAAATATAATTAACAAACAAACTTTCAGACGTTTCATGTCGCATGTTTCATTCACTCGATCAATGAGAAACAACATTTTTAAATGAGCGGATTAACAATTAACATGAAAATAAATCCAATGATTGTATCAAAATCTCCCTTCGCATGTTCTCAGAGATTGCACAGTTGTTACGAAATAACTTCTTTAGATCCTAAATAGTACAACATTAAAAATTGAACAAAACGAACCGTAAAGGACTGGATAGCAGGAGAAATGAGAATCCCATGCGACAAATCACAACTGCGGCGAAGGAATATAATTCAATTTGAGTATTATTTTTATTAGCTTATCCCAACATCAACAAATTGCAATTTACTTGTTCTTGACGCAAAAACAAATAATAATGTTACAATTATTTTGATACGAGGGCACTTCTTGATCGCATTTCATTTGATTCAATCAAGAAGGGACAAAGTTTGTTGCATGGTTGGATTTAATAAAATTTCTTCGATTGTAAAATTAACATTAATTTTCTTATTCGAATAACTTTCCTTCATTATCACAATCACAATCGAAATCGAGACAATTCGCATCATTGACACAAAGAAAATCAGAAGAATTAATTAGGTTCTCTTTTAACAGTTCATTGAGTTCAATTTTCACGCTAATTATCAAACTTCTTCGTGAATTAACAATTAAAAGGAATCTTTTTATAATTAAGAATCGTAATTTGTGATTCTTTTTTTTATTTTCTTATAATTTGTTCATATTTTATGAGTGTTAATCCAGTCAAAAGTCATATTTATGTTGTACAAAGCATTGTCACTTTCAATGCTAACAAACAACAAATTATAAAATTTGTATTTATTTATGTAAACATTATTAAAGTATCACTTACAAAACTCTTCTCATTTTCCTTGAGGGAAATGATTTGACAAAATAAAAAGGGATTGTGATGCTAGGCAATTGCTACAAACAAATATCTACACAACATAATAATCATAATTTATAAATTTATGATAATAACAATATCCAGTAACATAAGCGATAATTCACACGAGAAGTTCATTCGACACACTCCTTTCATTGAAGTTTCTGCCCAGCTGGAAAACACTTAGAAAAAATTTGCGCATTATGAAAATAATAAAAATCTTAATAATTCAAAGTGGGATGAAATCCTTTTCGAGTGCACATTGAGAGGGTGTCGAAAGGAAGATTATGTAGCATAAAAAAGGGCTACAATCGTAACGATTTTCCTCTTGCTTATAACATTCATTGTTCGTTGGTTGACATGTGTCAAAAATATGGAATATTTATTAATTCTTTTATATTTTATTTATTGCTTGAAATCGAGACGGAAAACGCCAAGTGAGAAGCGTAATGATAACAAAAAAGAATTTTTAAATTGTCATCGATGAAGAAGATTTGAATTAAAATTTAAACTCATCTCTCTTCCTGATATTTTATTGCAGATTTATTTTCCGTCGACATTCAACAATCGAGTCTTCACGAGAGCACTTCAGATGGCAATTCCGAACACAATTCATCGGGTGACGAGGACTCGCAGATGCGTCTTAGACTGAAACGAAAACTACAACGAAATCGAACATCTTTCACCAACGAACAGATTGATAGTCTTGAGAAAGGTAAAAAGCTTTAGTTTATCTTCTTTAACAAAAGTTTATCTCTAGATAGAAAGGAACAAAACATAAAGTATTTAATTAAAATTAGTAGAAAGAAATTTCAAGAGTTATTCCTGTTTTATTTCATCAATTTTATGCTTTTTCGTGCCATTCACAGAATTTGAGAGAACGCACTATCCCGATGTCTTTGCTCGGGAACGATTAGCTGAGAAAATAGGATTACCCGAGGCAAGAATTCAGGTACTTTTACAGCAACAAGATAAGTCGGTAAACATAAAATGCCATCCATGCAAAAGACTTAGTTTTGTTCTTGTTTATCACTTCACTGCTATCATCTTTTGTTCCCTGATTTCGTTTACTTTCATTGTCTCTAAATAGATGAAATATTTATCATTGCTGAAGTGCATTGACAATATCTAGAAATATTAATAAATTCAGAGACATTATGATAATGAAAATTAACCATATGTCTTTGCAATCTTGATTGCAATCGTTCGACCCTCTCTAACATGCCTCAAAAACTGTCACAACATAGAACAAAATTGATATTTTTATTTCTTATTTATTTGCAATGTAATTGTCTTGTTTCAATTGTGCAATAACAACAAGAATAAACATAAACATGTCGCTACTTCATTTTCCTTCTCATTTGGAGAACGATGACGATGAACTTTCGATGCGAATGTTTGAAAAAAATAACAAAAAAAATATCGAATTTCAGTTATTTCGTTCACTTGAGAGCATGCTACAAGGAATGCTGAGCAAACGATTTAAGTCATTACGGTTAGAGTACAACGACGAAGTTCAGAAGAATAAGAAAAGAATTTCAAAGTCACTAAGCATTTTGTTAAAATATCGCTGTCATCCCTTCAACTAGAAGAAAAAAGAGAAAACTGAACTTAGACAGACGACACATTTAATGCAATAGCAACAATAAAAATTCGCCCGGCTGTGAAATCACGAAAGCTAATGAAGTGGAAAAATGTTTTTGTTTGTTTATTTATCGAAGTTGAAACAGTGACTGTTAGATATCTATATGATTGAGAAAGAAAGCAAACATTGTTGTTTTACTTTAATTTGTTAGCTTTTAAAGATGTTATAAGATTGCAAACGATTCAAAAGAATTTAAAATTATTTGCCGTCAAGATTGTGTGACAAAAAAATTCAATTCGATAAAACTTCCAAACTGAATGACTCAAAATCTTTCTTTCCCAACATAAATATCTTTGTTGATACATGAATTATCTGAAATTATGTTGATGATAGTTATGAATGGAATATCATAAATTTAAATAACAACATGAGGAATTAATTTTTATTCTCTCATAAAAACGTTTATAACTCATACGATTTGGATTTAGGGGAATCTTTTTATTTCCCTCAAAACTTATAAGCCGATAAGCAAGCAAAAAAAAGTAGGAAAGCAGAAGAAACTTGCTCATGTGAATCTTCATTTTGAATTATAATTTTCTTCTTATTTTTTCCTCCCTTTTTATTCGTTAAGATTTCTTCTATATGCATCGTCTATTGTTCTGTCTCATTCACACTCTAGTTTTACTTTTGTATACTTTTACTTCTCTGTATGTTTCTTAAATATTCTCTTTTTATTTGTTCATGACAATAACTTATTTCATCATTTATAAAAAGGTTTGGTTCTCGAATCGACGTGCAAAATGGAGACGTGAAGAGAAACTTCGTACTCAACGAAGATCAGTAGATCATGTGAGTGGAGGTGGTGGTGCTGGAAATGGAAGTTCGAATAATAATGGAAGTGGAAATACCGGAAGCAATGGTAGTGCAAATATAGGCAACACTAATTCAGTCAGCCCACCAGTGCCAACAACACCAAGGATACCTTTAAACTCGGGATTTAATTCAATGTATGCTTCAATTCCACAACCGATTGCGACAATGGCTGAGAACTACAGGTGAGAATTTATTTATTAGTTTTATTTAAATTTCTAATTTTTTTCTTTCAGTGCAATGCCGCCATCTTTAGGCTCGATGACGTCACAATGTTTACAGCAACGTGACGGCTATCCGTACATGTTCACCGATCCATTACATTCACTGAGTAGTCCCTACAGTACACATCCATCGCGCACTGCATGCAACCCAACAGCAGCTCATCAGCAATCACATTACAGCACGTCAAATGGTGGCTCAGCTACAGGTAAGTTGTACCAAATATCACACCCGCAACATTCCCTTGACTATCATTAAAACTTTAACGAAGGTGTCATAACTGCAGGAGTTTCTGTTCCAATACAAATTCCATCTCAAGGTTCTGAACTTGGTACAAACTATTGGCCGCGACTTCAGTGATCTTCATTTTTTGGGCTTCCCACTTTAGGTGAGAAAAAAAATAATGAAATTTAAGAAAGAATTGAATGAAAATGAATTCATTTGAACAGGTGCCGGAAGTCCATCATCCTCCACAAATATGCCATCCCTACCATCATGCTTAGAGCTTGAGGAAGTCAGTAAGAAGATTGAGAATGAAGATTGAGTTCGGCCATAAGAAAAAGCTTAATTTAATTTAATCTGAAAGCTAATTTAAACATTCCAAAAAGAAAAAGATAAAATAAATCAACGATAAGTTTTAATTAATTGATGAATGAATGACAACATAATGAAAATGAATTGAATTAGTTTAAGGAGAAGCAATTAAGCATTTATTTTAATCATTGCGTATTCAATTATGGTGACGATGAGATAGCCTAGTGAATAAATAAATATTCAACATGAAAAGTACATAAAAAAGCGAGTTTATGCAAAAATGAAATTGTAATGTTGTAAATATAAATAGTTTAACTTAGTCATTACTAGAAACGATCTCAGTGTTGTATTTTGTCTCTGTCACGCTGTCATTTACACCCAGTTTTATGCATAAAGGGAGAAGTTTTTCCCTGAAGTTCATCACTTATCTAATTTGTTCCACAAGTTAATTAATTATAAATATCTACATGAGCTGACCTCTGACGAAAAATAAAAAAAAAAAACTTTGAGTTTCTGGTCATTGAATTCAATTTCAATATTTTTTTTCCTTCCTTTGGTGAAGTGAGAGAAGCATCAAAATTTGTACCTGGAAAATTACAAAACAGCTCGATAGCACTTTGAAATTAATTAAAAGAAAATGTAAGAATCAAATTCAATGTAAATTTTCAAACAGAAAAAGTCCAAACAGACCCAGTAACTTAAACGCAGTGTAACTTTTTATGTGGAAATAAAATTTGACGATGAAGAATCGAATATTTAAAAGCAATAATTCTGAATAATCGAGTTGGCTAATGATGATTAATAAAGCATGTATTTAAATGTTTTTCCATAACATCAACGTTGATCTTGAAATTGCACCTTTAATTTTGCACCCTTCAACATTTATCAAAAGTAAATTTTTCTGAGTGTTAAAATTTAAATCTGGGAACAAAAACATGTTTCATCAACAAACAAAAATTCTTTTTAATAAAATTAACAGAAAAAAAAACTTTGAATAAAATTATTTTCATCTGAATATTTCATTAGACGCAAATCAACAAAACAAAATTTAATATTTTATTTAGGAATCATTAAAAATGAAATGCAAAAATTGACAAAAAAAAAACTTATACATAAATAATTAATGCATTTAAGTATTAATGATGGAAATAAAATTTTAACGAAAATATAAGTAAAATGAATGGTAATTTGTTTCTTTGTTTCGGAAATCACATGAGAATGAGATGAGAAGTTAATTACAAATATACAACATAACAGAAATTATATATTTACTAAGGTACATAAAGAAAAACAACAACTTTGTATATAAAAGAAAAACGAGATTAAAATACATGAAAAATAAACGAAAAACGACTTTTCGTTAAAAAATTATTTTTGATTTTCTCAGATTGTAAAGCGAAAATCCTCGAAACTCTTCACAGACTCAAAAGCTTCTTATAACAAATAAAAAATCGATGGGCTCAAAAAATGATTTAAAAAGTATTTGCTTTTCCCCCATTGATGTCATGATGCCGACATGATGAAAAATCGACCCATTTATTTTTCGTGAACATACAAATCTCTTACCGCCCTTTGCTTGCCGTGGCATAATCATATTTATGAAATTCCATTTCCCATTTTTATCGAAGAGAACGAGTCCCGAAAAAAATCCAATCATTTTTCAAGTGGTGAATGTGAAGAAAGGAGAAAGGGAAGAATAAATATTTTTCACTTCCCTCTAGGCTTGCCTTCGTTTAGCAGCTTCATTACAAACTAATGGCCCCTGAACCCCTCCACTGTGCCAGCCACGAGATATTTTCTTTTAAGACTTCCTGAACCATGACGCTCTATGAAAAATGTTTCTACTTCGGATGGAAACTCTGCACGGTGATGAAGGTCGAACCACAAAGAATTCTCGAACCAGCCATGCTTGAATAAGTCTCACATTTACTTTTTTTTTACAGTTGAAACAATGGAACATCATCTAAACTTTTATTTACATTATAAGAAGGAGAGAATACTAATTTAAAAATGATTATTTTATTTTACAGAAACATGTTCAATGTTTTCATCAGAAAATTGAAAGAGCAGAAAACAAAAAGTTCTGTAAATGGAAATATTTAGTAAAGTTTTTTATTTTTTGTGACTGAAACATCATATTTTTTGCTGTTATCTTTCCAGCTGAATCGGCAGATCTGACTCGACAATGTCCAGTCTGCTGTTTTTCATTTATAACCATTTCCATTTGTTCTCGTACATTCTGCATTCACTTTCGTATTTAACAAGTTTTTACAATAGATTTTTATTATTCTGGAAGAGAACAAAATGTCGAGCTGAGTGAAATGATATTTTTTTACAAAAGCAAATTGGATACACAATTTCATGCGCCAGTGAATTTCATTTTGTGTACAATATATAAATGTAACTTTCTCTGTATTCGGTCTCGAGGATATTCAACCTTTTTTCGGCGAGATGTTTACATTTTGAAAATTGTATTTCTTATAATCACATCGTTGTTGCCAAGCTACACGAGTACGACATAGTTTGGAATAATATTTTCAATTAAAAGCATAAATACTTTATTTTCGTTGAAATTGTTTTCAAAATGTTTCATATGCAATGCTTGACTAATCTTTAGAATCTTGTTATGATGATAATCATTCAATTCTATAAAATATTTCTTCATAACATTCACGAAAATCTTGAAAATAGAAAGTAAAAGTTTATCCATTCAAATGACATTCTCAACAAACAATAAACAAATAAATAATTTTCTTCAAGTATTCTCTTGAAGATACATTGTCGAAATCCTTTACAATTGTATCATGTTTGAAGGGTAATGAAAGCATCTCAATAATGACTTCTTCTTACAATGTTTCTGTCACAAAAGAATTGACCGGAAATTATTACACAATTTCTATTTTCATCATCTCATTCGATCATTTCCTTAATACTCTTGAGTCTTGAAACGCTTTCCCCTAAATATTACGCTGGTAATCTCTGCTCGATTACTTTTTGTTTGGTATTTTTATGCTTTTTACCTCGCTTTAGAACACACGAAAGACATGTTTTTGGCAATAAAGTTAATTATATTTGTAATCGAAGAAAAGTTAAACATTGTTAGAGATTTTTCAATCTTTATTGCTTTGACGAAATTTACTGTGGCAAACAAACGAGAAATTCAATCTTTTTGTAGTTTTCGAGTGGAAAATTAGTTTTCAGACAACATAAAGCAAATGAAATCGAAAGCAATGAAATGAAACTTTATTACGGGATCATGTAACTTTAACGACATCAAGATTAAAGTTCTTTTAAGTTAATGTTAAAGGTTTTTGTCACGATAATTATTATTGACGATGATTGCGTTTATTTTCAAAGAATATTTGGAAAATTGAAACTGTTGATAATATCGGAAACCGCAATCTACCAGTTAGGGTTAGCATAAGGAAGATAAGATTTATAAATCATGGAAGAACAGAAACGAGAATTCAATTATTCCAGATTGAGTTAAATTTGCAGAGATTGAGCCTTCGCACGATAATTGCATCTAGAAAATTGAATTGTTTAGCATTTGTTCGTCTCGAAACGATTCTCTTAGTTGATAGGGTGACATGCTGGTTCTAAGTCAGTTGAATGAATAAAGTTGTTACGAAATATTCTGCGGCTTGAATGAGTTTGCCTTCGAGGCATTGGCTAGGCATTCATGGCTTAATTGTTTGACGATTGTATCAATGCTTCATACCGTCAAAACATAGAATTTTAGAGTAGAACTTTGTGGCGTATAACAATATGAAAGAACCGAGCATTACGCAATTAATAAAATAAGAAAGGGGATGATCTTGTATTACCAAGTTTTCACCACAAAAGCCAAAGAGCAGATTTCTGCTTCGATTGCCGAAAGAATAAATAAAAAATAGAATCATTGCAACAATGGGAAATAATCGAAAATAACAGACTCGCTCACATCAAAAGCACAAAAAGATATAAAGGAAAATCTCGGGTTGAAGGCAATGCAAAGAATACGGAAAAAGAAGAAGAAGAGAATCAAATGATTGTAAAATTAAAGCCACAAGGCGAAATCCCCGAGCCGAGTCACCAGCTTCAGAAATTAAATTCCATTATTTTTCCAACCCAAAAGATACCAAAAGAAATGGTAAAAAATAAAACCAATCGGAGAATGTCGCATTGAGATGAAATTGGTTGCGTTTAATTAAATTTCCTTCCATTGATTTCAAGCGAAAAAATGTGTTTTGAAAATTGATAGAAGATTTACGGAAACTGTCATCAAAATTTTCTTTTTAAGCTCTCATAAAATTTCGTTAAACATGTCACGAGGATTTTTTTTCAATTTTCAATTTTCATTTGATGAAAATATAGGAAAATGATGAACCCTTTTTTGGAAATATCTTTGATCACAAAAGAAAAACCACAATAATTTGACGCAACGCAAGCATCGAAAACGTAATTTTCCTTCTATCGATCACAAAAACTCTGCGCATTTTTCCACAACACTTCACATTGAGAAAACTTTACCAACAAATTGGTGGCAATTTTGATTTTATTTGATTGTAAATTGCATACAGCATGTTTTATATGTTAGGGTTGATGATTTTAATGAAGGGATATTTTGTTCAACCTTTTATGTCGTTCCGATAAAGTGACGTAATTATTGCGTCGAAACTGTTCAAATGGGAATACGAAATTCATTTTTTTATCAATTATACTCAAGCATTCCGCCCACGAATTATTTAACCGTATCCCTTGGATTTCAATCACTCGCCTCGTTCCTTTCACAGCATTCATCTAATGTTGAAATAAAATGAGAAAACAATTGAAGTCAGCATGAAACGATGTAATTTGAGATTAGATTTGAGCGGTAAATGAAAGAAAGAGCAATTGAACATTCCATTCATTGTTAGTATGCCTTTTTATCGCCAAGGTTTCAACACTCATTATCCCACAAGGTATGTACAACCAGCGTTTTAGCAAACGACAGGATGTTGGAAGAGAATAGATCTTCATTTTCAAACACGAAATAGACAAATTTAATTAGCATTTCTCTGCTGAACTCTCAACAAAAAAGATTTCATTGAAATGTTAGCAAATATTTGTAGTTTATTCTCTCGCTTATATCATGTTGTGCCTCTAATTAGAAGAGGCCAACATATCCCTCATAATAATTCAAATATCTACTTATTTGTTCAAAACTTTTGCAAACATATTTTAGTTGAATTAATGATGATTGCATATTTGCTTGTCATTATGTGTGCATCCTTAGAATAACTTTTTTATAGATATTTCATTTAAATATCTAAAAATGTAAACACTTACCCTAAATTTTAATTCTTCTTCTCCTCAACAGTTCTTCACTCAAAGCTTTTAATTATGTTAAAACATTCTCTCAAAAACAAAGTTGTTCAGTCGATTCAAAGCCTCTTGATTCTAGAAAAGCGTTACATGAGAAAACAAAACATAAATATCACAAATGCGAGAGAGAGAAAAGAACATAAATGAAAAATATTTTATATCATTCTATGTCGCTTTTTTTCCAGCACCAGAGATGGGCAAATGTTCCGTTCAACTCGATTGACTGACTGACTGACATGTCAATGTCTTTCAGTCAGTCAGTCAGTCAGTCAAAATCGCGAACAAAAATATTCGCTTGTTGGGACACGTTCATATAAATGTTCCGCTCAAGTCGTTTTACTGACTGACTGACAAGTCAATGTCTGTCAGTCAGTCAGTCAAATCCCAACTCTGTCCAGCACGCATTATTTCATTTATTCATGTTCATCCGGATGGAAGTAACAACGAAACGCGAAATCTCTAAACGGATGGATAGCGAGGAGAACGAAACATTTTTTTCATGCTACTTGCTGCAGAACGAGGAGAAAAATTAAATGCCTCCTCGCATTATTATTTATTATAACGAAGGTTGTAGATATGCGCAGATGGTGTTGAACAAAATATCGAAGTGTCTTCACTGTATTTACATGATTCTCTTTTAAACTTTACTCGTTAAACATCCCCATGATAATACGAACAGAATTGAAATTAAATTTGCTTAAATTGACTTCAACATAGGATTAATAAATCGCAACTCTAACATGTATTTACATTTATGTTGGCTAAATGAAGTAGACAAATGTGTTCATCTTGTATTTTCACCATTTATGAATGACTTTTAGGATGATGAAAAATATTAAAAGATTTCCATCATTTATCACGCTTTACAATGTTGACTATTTCGATATCTTGATATCTACATATTTATGTAAAAATTCCTTTGAAAGTATGAAATGCCACATAAATAGAAGATTGAGAAACTTTTTTCAACCAAAAACAAGAAAATAAAATTCTTTTCAGTTCTGAAACTTTGTTTAGTTTTTTTTTCATCTTAGATAGCATTTCTTTGTGTCAACTTCGTTCTTTGTCATGATATGGATATGTTTTTGCAACATTATTCATTTGTTTGGAAGGCGTAAGTAAGTATATAACATGAAGAAAGAAAAGAGACAAAAACGAAAGCAAGTTTGGGTCATGAAGCGGCAAATATGAATTTCTTTTGAGTGCTTAATATGTTTTTCTTTTTCGATTGTTGTTTTGTTGATATGTGAGAAAGAAAAATAGAAAATTTTTCTAATCTTTTCAGACAACACGATTAAAAGGATTTCATGAGTTTTTTGGTTTCTCTTAGGAAAGACAACGAAATTTACTGAACTTTATTTGAGCGTGTAAGGTCTCAATAGACATGTAGAAAAACATTTCAATTACATTATTACGTATCATCTCAAATACTTACATGAAAAAAAAGTTATTATTTCTTTCATCTTGCCCACATTATCCTCATTGAGTTATCTCAGAACAATCGATTGGATTTCATGTTGCGATGAAGGAAAAATAATAACATAAAGGATTCTTTTCAGCGGTTTTCTTTCAGATTTAATGCAATCGATCCTTACGCAGGTAGCATAAACCAGCGATAGATTCCTTTGAAATGTTGTTTTTTTTTTCAACTTTCGTAATCTTCTTTTAGCGGAGAGATAAAGAAGAAAAGGCATTCCCGAACAGAAGCCGTATTTGGCGATTTACCTTTTTGATATTCTGTGTAGGTTTTTTCTTTATATTCATTTTGATAATCCCAAACAAACGCTGTAGGAATTTTGTTTCTATCCATTGATTTTTGGTGCGACTTGCTTGCTTCTCTTTTAAGGTGGCTTGGCTTCGGTAATTCTATTTTTTTTCATCTTTCTTACTCAACGTTACATAATACTTCTATACTTCTACTTTTATTTGCGCATGATTGAGTTCTGTTCGTTGTGCTGTTCACAAGGTGCCCACCCTCACTTTTCTCTGACAAACATGTTTCATTCCCTTATTTTTCTCCCCCAAAATAGAATGGAAAAAAATACACACCAAAATGAATCGCACTTGCTACCATGGCGAAGGAAGATGAAGGAAAGAAACATTTCCATAATCTTTGGCAATTCAAAGATGTTTTTCAAGATGTCTTAAGGAAAGTGTTTCTTTTTCTACTTTCGTTTTCGTCACCTGAAGTAGATTTTTTTTCTCTGAAGATTCTTCTTTTTTGCTTATCATGAATGACAAACGAGAGAAGATTTTTGTCCTTGAATTTTTCTTTTTGATTTGGAATAAGAAGAAGATGAAAAAAGCGAAAGCGTGGAAGAATTTTCACTTTCATTCTGTAATAGAAAGAAAATCAAATTTCTTGTGAATCTTTGTTAAGTGAAAAAGTATTTTACATTTCCATGACGCTTATAATTTTATTGCTTCGAATATTAAGACATCAAATGAACGAGCTCTCATAAAACATCACAATCAAGTAATAAAATTGGATTAAAAGCAACACATTAAATCAGCGCCATCACTCAAGTCACGTGACTCGCGTTTGTACGCATTCGTGGATGATTCAGTGGAAAATTGCAAACAGAAACTTCAAACTCACCCCGACTATGTAATGTTGTCTCTCTTCTCTTAATCTCTTGCAGTTAATTTCATTTCATTAATTAAACGACAAATGGGGAGAATTTTCCTTCATAACATCATCGTTGTTATCGCGTGGGAGTGTTTTTTGAAATATCTGCGCAAATTTATGCTTGATTACAATTCTCGAAATATAAATGAACAGCACAGATTGAAAATAATGGCATTTACATTCAATAATCATTGAATTATTCCCATTGTACTCTAGAGAATTTATTGCTTTTCAGGAAATTTAATTTAATTCATCGAAAATTGGCGAAAATCTATTTTTGTGGTAATCTTTATTGAATTATCGTTGCTCGACCAATGTACTAACAATCGTTCATATTTATCTGTTCAAAAGTATTAAATTTTAAAATCACTGAGAATGGATTAAAACCAAATTCCACTGTTATATATTTTAAAATATGATAAATTATCAATTGTTTACATTTTTGCAGCATGATTTATTAAAATTTCTGCGCTGATTCTTGTGCATCGAAATGTCCGTGCATTTTTCATTTGTTGTTTGCTCGTTTATCATGTAGACATGTTTATTTGCTGAAAAAACGGTAGATATGATTGAAATATGACAGACATCTCAGCATGAGCCAGCAAGCAATGATGTTTACAGACTTGATTTTTTATGCTACTGTTCTTAAAGGTGCAGAATTACTTCTTCCACAGAAGGCAATTAACTTGTTTAAAACAATTTTTCGGTCGACCAAGTTTCTTTAAAAATATAGATTAATACATGTAGGAGCTTTTATGTCGAACAAAGTATGATGAATTGGAAGACAGAATGATGATAGGATGATTAATTAAAAATCCTTTTCGTTGTGGATTTATGTGTGGGCTTATTTAATCTAATAAAATCAATAAAAAGTTTTAAATCATAAAATTTGTACGAAATAATTACATATAAACGACCTTCAAATTGAAGTTATGTGGGTGATTTTAGATGAAAAATTTAAGTCATAAATAATTTAGGTAATATCTGCCTTTTTCCAAATTCTTTGTAATACTAAATAATAATTGTAATAATAAATTCTATAGAAGATAATTTTATAAAGTTAACGGTTCTTAAATTTTTGAATATCTTCACTTTTCGGACCGATAACAGACACTTTACGGACACTACGCAACCGTTTAAAACTGGGGTAAACAACTACGCAAAACGTGTTTACTAAAAATTTGTTCTTAACTTATTTAAATATTGAATATCTTTATTATAAGTCATTGTTTAAAGAAAGCTTAATTACGCAAGGATTATAATTTATCTAAATATAAATTGAGACGAAATGCCGAAATCAAAAAGAGATAAGAAAGGTAAAAATTAAAGCAAAATAAAAGCATCTACCGTTTGTTAAGCAATTAATTTAAATTTCAGTTTCACTAACTAAAACTAATAAGAAAGGATTAGAGAATAAACAGAAAGTTATTGAGGACATTCAGGGATGTGCCGAACAATATCCCAATGTATTTCTCTTCTCAGTCGAAAACATGCGAAATTCTACATTAAAATTCATTAGAAACGAGTGGAACAATTCCAGATTCTTCTTTGGTAAAGTATCTGTAATGAAACTTGGATTGAGAAATGCTGAGATTGCTGATGAGTTGTGTGATATGCTTGAGGGACAACGTGGATTGCTTTTCACACCTAACGACAAAGAAACAGTTGTTGATTGGTTTAAAGAATATTCAGCTGAGGAATTTGCTCGAAGTGGCTTCAAAGCAAATGAAACTGTTGTTCTTCCCGAAGGTCCACTCTCCGACTTCTCACATGCCATCGAACCACATTTGCGTAAACTTGGAATGCCAACAAAACTTGAACGTGGTATTGTGACACTGATGAACGACTATACAGTTTGCGAAAAAGGACAAACATTGACACCTGAGCAAGCAAAGATTCTCAAGTTAGTTGGACGACCACTTGCGACATTTAAAGTTAACATCGAGTGTTGCTATACAAAAGAAGATGGTTTTGAAGCCATCAAAATGCCTAAATCCGATAAGAAATCATCACTGAGAAAACCAATGAAAGCGAAAGACAAACTAAATCTCAAGAACAACAAAACATCAAAGAAAACTGAAAGTAAAAGTAAAGAAGCTGCAATGATGGAAATTATCGAAGCATCTGATTCAAATGAGGAAGATTATGATGATTCAGGTTCTGATGAAGACATGGAAGCTTCTGATTAAAATTATTTTATCTGAAAATATTTTTTAAAAATT